AACTGCGCTCATTGTTTCTGGAACTGATCGATAACTGTGCCAAAAGAGACATTTTACATTTATTTATTCTTTTAGCAGCAACGTGCGCTCATCTCTTTTCTCATGTCGTTCGTTCAAAGAAGTGTCATTCTGGAAGTCCATTAGAGTTGCAGATTTATGTTGTAGAGGCTGCATCATGGTGCTTCACCGAGCGGTGAAGCCGACCACTCTCCGTTACGAATGTTCATTCCTCTATCCGATCTTTCCACCAGTCGATTTTATTGTGGTTCCTTTCCTAGTTCTTTTTCTATCACTTGATCAGATGCTGTGTACATAAAATTTTTCTGTGGCCCTAGTTCTTTTTAATAATAACGCTTGAGTCTTGAGTCAAGAGAATTCTCAGATCCTATTTCTGGCCATAGGAAACGATAGAATTTCGTAGTCAATTCGTTCAGTAGTTTTTCTCCCACTCAAACAATCTTGTTAGATTTCGATCTTTCTTCACAACCCGTTTTTTAGGCACGTAAACTTTGGTGCGTTATCTGATGGTCGTGATGTTTCGCTAATCGATCAAACTCGTGTTGAATTTAAAAGGACATTAGCGTAGATTGTTATTTATACTTTGGTCACATGATCCTTGATCTGCCTCCATTATCATTTGCATTCTTCTTCGATCTTAGAATGTGACCTTACTAATTACTTTTTATTGGCATCTTCGTCTTTAAAAATTCATCGTTAACCGCTTTTGATATTTCCTTAAAACTATCGTCCGCACCTCGTTTGTGACACTGATTTGATCGAGGTACTGTCGCAACGGAATTTTGTCGAAGTGCATATTCGTTTTTGAGTCAAAGCATTAAACAGGTTTCCAATAGCGCTGGAGGCAAAGATCTCCATGATTGGCTCTAATTCTCGGCTACGAAAAGTACTCGTCTAAGTACTTAAACTGGTTATGCCTGTGCCTGCATTTAACCTTCTGTGCCATTTCACCTCCCAGTTGAACTTTGGGGTTCCGCTGTGTCATGAGGTAGAATCTGAATCAAGGTTACTGTTTAATCTCACGTTGTCAGGTGTCAACTGACAGTTGACAGTTCCAGCCTTAAATACGTTGTAAATTATTCATTTGAATAAAGGCAAATACAAGTTCTCATTTGCTGTCACAGTTTTTCAGTACCTGAAAAGTCATGACACCAAAGCCATCGGCGATCATATATATACATATGTATCATATATATACACCCGTATACAATATATGCGTTTGTTTCTCATGGTGCATTTGACGAACTGAATGAAGCTTTTGCAATTCCTGTGTTATTAGCGCGTGTGACCATTCTTCGTAAATCAGTGATCCTCAAGGGATGCTTTCACAGACACGCAAACTGATTCGGCATCATTTGGTATTCTTTTATTTCAATGTTCCACATAAAGAGTGACGCCGTTTGGAGAATCCTTTTCGAAGTCTTTCGTAAGTTATTGATTTCACTCTCATATTCTGTGCTGCATTCAGGATCATCATTGGTCTGGCACTGCCCAGCTCGATTCCACTCTCCTAGGCGTGCCGATTTGGACATAATTTTAATTTCTAAGATCTACGCTAGATTTAGCATCGTTCGTTTCTAATCACCACATGTGCATAATGCAAATGGTTTGTATCAGTGATGGCGGGCATGTGGTTGCTCGGTGATAAGCGAGATGACAAACGCAGTTTCTGAAGGCGATCTGACTCTAGTTTTCTTTATGCATATTTACGGCCCTCACTTGCACGAACACACAGTTCACTGTGACGCATTGGTCTGGTTAATGGGAACAATACATTGCAGTAATGGAAGAATTCCGTGAATCTGTGCGGAGAGATATTCGATGAACTGGACATCGTTGCCAGTCAAGAATTTTATCCGCGTTTAGGCATAATTGGCATCGTTCCTTTGACTTAGTGCTATTTTTCGTATATGTTGTTCAGATTACAGATGAAGTGTTTTTCATATTAATAAGAACGATGGCCTTCTCCCTCTGACTGGCCTTTACTCAGAGTTTGCCATATTCATAAACAGCTCAGTTAATGTCTGATTCACATCGCCTCGTTGTCCAACCGTTCTGAAATTTATTATCAGCTACTCCAGCTACCGTGGCGACTGCCGCACGTGCGTCACAATGCTTCGCTCGCTGTGGAATACCAGCGTGTTATTTGATTATTGTCCATGGCTATGCGAAGGTTTCAGACATATGTGTAACGTTTCTCTACCGGTCGTTTCCCAACTTGTAATTGTTCCGCAATTCTTCTCGACATAAATATCAAAATATGTATTTGTAG